AGTTACACCAGCCATGGCTCCCACTGGGAATACCTATATTTCCACAGCAGGGCCTCACATGAGGCAGGGGGTACAGATTAGCACGAATCTGACAGTGGCCTGACATCTCCTGGAGATTCTCCGAGGCTGAAGACTCCTCATATGAGTAAAGACACATCCCAGTTGCTTTGCATTATTATAACACAGAGTACCATAACCAGACTGGAGGATCTATTCCATGTCCTGTATAGAGCCCCAGCTCACAATATTTCTATTCACAGTCTGCTATATGGGACTATGCATCCATCATTAAATCAGGCTCAAAATATTTCTTGTTTGTTCTATTACCATTCAAATAATGGTAAAATATTCTTTCCATTAGTTTAGGAAAAAAATAATCTAGCTAGAAGAATAATGTGTCCTGACTTGAACATGAGAATCACTGATTAACTTTTAGCTGACAAAACCCCTGCCAGTTTCTACTAAGAGTCACCAAACATAGAAATCACTGCTGAAAATCAGAAGACAAAATTGCTTTCCCATGGAGAGGTAATAAGTGCATTTCATGATGGGCAGAAAAGCCTGTTAGGACATTTCTGGTTCTGGGAATTTTCAGGGTACGGAATTGACAGAGACATAAAATGAAGGCACTTGGACAGGATAAGAAACTCGAGTTACTTTTACCAATATGCAGTGTGATAGGCTCAGCAGCTGCTTTTCTGGAGCTCTTTTTAACCAGGATTGGTTCTCTATGGGTTAAAGCTGGCTCCAGGTTTATCATTTGGCTGAGAGGGTGAGTCTTATTTTCAGAATGAGAAATTTTCATTTAGATTCATTTAGTCAGTGCAGCTACTTCAGTCTCAATGTCCACTATAGCAGGTTGGGGCTGTGCATGATGGCAGGGATGTGTCCTGTGTCCTACACTATCCCTTTTCCTTACACAGGAAGAAATTAGTGAGGATTTCTTTTCCAACGTGAGACACACAAGTGAGCTCCAAGAAAGTTGTATAGGGTGGCATTGCCTCTCACCTGCACTCAGCATAGGCTAGGGAGACTACAGGGTAGCTTGTTGCAGGGACAGTATTTAACTTGCAGCTTTACTGTACAGAACAGAACAATTCTTAGTTGATTTATTTTAGTGTCCTAAAAGTCTCTCACACCAGATGCTGAGACTTTTTTGTGAGCAGAACCCAGATGGATCCTTTCACCCCCAGGGAGTTTACGGTGCCAGACTCCAGTCTTGCCAGTAAACCCAATAGCCAGCCAACCCTGTGAAGTCAAAGTGGCAATTTAGGTATTCACAGCTGTGGATGAGTACATGTTGTTTGCAGGATCTGGGTCTTCCTCTTGCCCCTTTCTTTCAACTTGCTGGGCTACTGGAAGTCTTTATGTGTGTGGCAGGTTGCTTTGCCTTACACCGTTTAGATGAGACCCCTGAGACTGGCTTGAGTATGGGAGCACAGTGACTGCAAGTCAGTTCTGTGCAAACACAGGGACTGTTTAGCTTCCCATGAAGTACTGGGGTCTCTGTGCTTTGCCCAGGCATTGTTGATCACCTACTTAGGAAGCAGTGCTCTCTAATTTCTGGCCTTTACCAGGGAAACCGTTGATCTAACTGGCAGCTCAAATTTATCAGACGCTGATCAGATGCGCGTTTGCTGAAGATAAAGGTCTTTTTGATCAATTGCATTGGGAATTTCACCTGGAATTCAGTACACACACAGTCTCTGAAGGCAAAGATTTTCACTGATGTTTATCCTGAAGTATAAATAGCCTTTGACTATAATTTAATCCTTTACTAATACATAATATTAGTATATATAATATAATATATAATCCCTTACTAATCTGCAGTCCTGTCTTTTCTGTACGTGGACAATATTTCTAAGTAAGGGCAGGTTATTAAGTTCAGATTCTAGCAATGATTATGCTGCTGGTTACTTTCCTGCTTACAACATGTAGCCTTTCCTCTCTTTCCTCCTCAAAGGGATTTAGTTCTGATGGAGACACTTTTGTACTGAAACAGTAATCATGCTATCATCTGTTGTTCACTTATTAATGTTGTTAATTCTCTTCAGGCATATTTTTCTCATTTTGGTTGGTGCCATAACACTTCATTCTGTAATTCACTTGTTTTTTTTCTCCAACCTTATTGTAAACAAGGATTTTAATCTCTGAGTTAAGGAACATAAATCCAACTTTCTGAAAGTAAAAAATGATGGATTTTATAGTTCAGTTGATATTTAGAATTAATAAACTGAAGAGACTGCAGAATGCTTAGCATCTCTTAAAATCAGGCTTTAAATTTTCCTCATACTTAGAAGTAAGTATTATAAAGATTTACTTCATTTTTTGGGGCTTTTCACATGATGTGCATTAAAATGTAGCCATATGTAAGGTGCATACCCAGGGCAAAGGAACAGGGGTCACCTACAGAACAGGTGGTCCCTTCTTAGGTGACACCAGCATGCAAGAAGCTACAAGGGTCCTATGAAACAGGCAATGTAGCAGGAGCTCCCAGTGCCCTGCCGTGGTGATGGGCGCTGTGTAAGAACTGCCAGCTTGTGAGGAGAAAGGAGTTTACAGCTCAATGGCACATTGGGGTCACCATTACTAGAATGGTAAAAGTGGTTTTTTTTGTCCTGCTGCTGCTTTAAAAGAGAAAATGAGGGAACAAACAGAAGTCCAGAACTGAAAAGGACAAAGACAGGGCCTGGACAAATGCTTTGAAGGCTGGAGGAAATGCTTTCAGTGAGAGACTTTGAGAACTCAATCTGCTTACCTGAGTAAAAAGAAGACCAAGAAGGGACTTGGTATCACAGCAAAGCACCTTCACAAAGGAACACAAATCTCTGGAGGTGTAACCCATGCCAAATTTGCTGCTGAATTATTCTTGGCTCCTTACTCCAGTCTGAAACACTGGTCTCATTTGAGCCCCAGCTAGCTGAAGAGCCAAGAGCTATGAAGTTATTTTCTATTTCACTTTGATGATTTGGTATTGAGAGGGGATATTCCCCAAGGAGAGGTGAAATCCTGCCTACAGCTCATAGGTGGACATTTATTGCATTTGGTTTATTGCAGGTAGGAGTTCCCTCCTACACTGCAATCAAGCATGCAGAAGCTGTGGCACAGTAGAATACTGCTTGTAGAAAATGCTATTGCATTCAAGCTCCTGTAAAAGGCTTCTCTGATAAAAGATATCCTAAAGAAGAGTGTTACTGTGCTATTATATGAAAAGAAGCTTGTTCTGGAGCCTTCCTTGGCAGGCTGCAGGTTGTAATGTTTTCTATCTTTTTTTTTTAACCAGAATTATCTGCACAGGCAGTGACTTTCCTAGTGAGCCAGGTGATTTTCCTGGGCTTCACAAGCACAAGTTGGTCAGATGTCCTGCAGAACCTCTTCTTTTCCTTGCTTTTCTTCCTGTGCATGTTGGCTTTAAACCAATTCAGGAGCAGTATAATATTTCTCATTACCCTTACACATGTGGCTTAAAATTTTGTGGCCGTGTTAATAGTCAATTATGTTTAAAAGATTCTTTAATCACCACCTTGAAGCTTGAGGCTGGAGATACCAACGGTGATTTGAGCTGGTATTGCCTTTGTAGAAGAGTTTTCTCTGATACAATAATCTATGAACACCAGAAAATAAAATAGGTCTAGCAGTTATGCATTGCATGGTACTGAATGATAGCTCAAAAACCTAGTGCAGAGAAAAATCTCAAGTTGGGCCCTTCTCATTTGTTTAACTAATTTCATTTGTTTCATAAAGTTTAGTCCTTATTTTAGTGCAGATCAGTACTGCATCAGTTTAAGTGCTTCAGTGAAGTGTTTCTTAATGGCTCAGATTTATCTCAGCACATCAATGGAGGTGTTCACAACTTGCTGAGCAATCTGCTGGCGTTCTGTGTGCATGTGCAAGTTCTGTTCAGCACAATGAGAATCTCCACTGAGATTTTGGTGTACTACAAATGTCAGCAGGTGAGGAATATTTGGACAAGGCCAGTTCAACAGGCAAAAGGTTATTGGAAAGGCCTTAAATACATATTGGCCGTTAGGTGTGGAACCTGGATTTTATGATAAGGTCTCTAGTTTTGTTTTATTGGGCTAGGGAAGACTAGAAAGCTGTTATGATTTTTTTTTGCATCTATTTTATAACATTTCAAAGTATTCCAATGAATCACGTTTGAAACCTCCAAGATTCACATTCTCAGCGTCCTGTTTCATCTTTAGTTTTCTAGACACATGGAACTCTTGGTCCAAGGTTCCTAAGGTGACCACAGACATGTAAGCCTTCTTAAAACAGGAATGAAAATTGCTCCTAAAAATGGAGTTAAGAATTGGAATGCTCCGGATGTTAGCTGTAGCTCTGATGGATTAGTGGAAGGACTGAAGAGGTTACTGCTATTAATGCATCAGCACTTCAAAACCCCTCATTTCCCTGCCTGTAAAGTGAGCATTTACCCACCTCTCAGGCTGCTATACAAACCAAGCTCAGGCCTTTGAGAAGTTAACAGGGACATTTGCAAAGCATTTTCTTGTTTATAGGCAATGTCCTTCCCCCCCCTTCATTTCACAAAAGAGGAACCACTTCAGTATCATTAATACACCAGTTACCCAATAGGAATCTAGTGATTCTGACTCCAGAAAGGTTTGAATAATTCAGTGCCATTTGCTATGTGCACATAAACTGTGACTGAGGAAGATCTGATCCATAAACAGCCTCATCTCTATTTCCTCTTCCTCTCACAACACTGCTATGCTTGTTTAAATTTGTTACATTTCCTGATGAGGAAGGAAAGCAGCCATGCAGCATGAGATGAGCCTCCACAGCCAGTGGAGTACTTCATTCTTCTGTTCACCAAATATCATTTTCAGCAAGTTGCCTCTTCTACTATATGGAGTTTCCTTGAGATACTGTACATGTATGCAACACGCATGTGAGTGTATTAACAGTTAAAACCATATTACTGGTCTTTTGATTTGTAGTTTGCTCATAACAAATACAGGTTTTCCTCCTTTCAGAGCAGTCTGCTTCCAGCCTGTGCAGCCAGAGATGCTGCTAACAAAAACTAAACCACCACCCAAGGAGCGGTAATGAATGTGCCAGGACATGGTCTCAGTGAGCTGCAGAAGAGTGGATTTATTTCTCACTTGTTCCCTGGAATTATGTAGGTTTTGTTGCACAATCACTACTGACAGAGATGTTACCAGGCTTTGGAGCTTTTTCTCTTAAACAGAGCTTGTTCTTTCCTTTAGGAAGAAATATCCCGGAGCAGGAGCCAGCCTGGAGAACACTGCCAGCTCTGCAAAGAGGGCTTGGGGATGAGTGGTCCTTCAAGGCTACCTTGCTGCTGGGTTTGGTGGTGGCTGCCACACGGCAGCATTTGCTTCTCAAGCTGATGCAGTGTAGCCCAACCTGTCTTTTCTATGTGGCATTTTTCTATCCTGTACAAGCTGCTGGGACACTTAAAATAGCAAAGATGAGCTTCTGAAAGGAAGAAAACATTAAGGAGAATGCTATTTCCACAGTTAACAAACATGAGAGACTGATTATGTGTTCTGCCCACCTCCCTCCTCCACACCCACACACACAGAGAAAAGGAGAAAACTGAGGGGAAAATAAAGCACCATGAAGACCATCAAACCTATCTGCACCCAGACTTGTTACACATGCGCATGCCAACAGTTTGTATACAATAACATATCTGGATGAAGGATTTTAGGATGTGTGCAGCCCCTGCAGCAAGTGCCTGAAAAGCATTTGTGATGCCCAGTCTTCATTTAGTGCATGCTTTTGGGCTTGTGAATGTATTATAGCTAAGACCAATACCTTCTTGACAGGGTCTTTTGATAGCCAGCACAGAAACAAGATGCAGATCATGACTAGTGCAAATCCTTCTTTCACATTGGAAGCTGATCTCCTGTAGGGGGTAGTTGTGAAATCCTGCTTTAACTCTTTTCTCCTTTTTGATTCCCAGGAAACACGGAAGTTCTGCAGGACAAGGCTGGCATTGCCTCCACACTGTGAAGCATCTTCATCTGTAAAGGTAGCTAGCTGTCTTTGCTAGCTTTGCACTTTACGGCTTTGCCATTTAAAACAACTCATTTTGTTAACTAACCTTTGAATTTTGGGTTTACACTTTCTCAAAAATCATTCTGGAAGTGGATAATAGAAATTAGTAAAGCAGAGGGGGTGGGGGGTGTTGGATAAAATCAAACCATGAAGATTTCACATAGGTGCTTCTTTACAATACTGTGGCCAAAAAATAAAGGCAGAAAACACTATTTTTTGGTATGAAAAATATCCAAGTAAATTGTAGAACTCACAGAAAGCTAAAAGTATGAAGTGTTTCATGTACTATACGTGGCTGGTTTGAGCAGCTCAAAATTATTCTTTTAAGTAGCTAGAAGACCTTTAAAAGTTATTTCTTATTTATACGAACATGTGATCCCCGCTGCTTCTGTGAAATACAGGAGTAAGAAGACCTCATTACTGAGCCAGGATCATTTATTAGCTGCAAAATGAAATAATCAAAGCTAACTTTGGGCATTGTTGTAAATACAATAGATGTACCTTTGCACTGGAAATCAGCAATATTTTCATCATCAAAGTAGATTTCAGGAGAAATGTTTCACATTACTGATGCCAATTCAGAGGAAAGCTTGAATTATTGAATCACAACTTTTGCATAACCAGCTTGTGTTATGATTGTGTATGACAAAACCAATTTGAGCTGCTGGGAAGAATAAGCATTGCCTATTTGCAACGCCTGAGCATTTAGTGCTTTCCCTCTGATTGTGCTTTATTGCTGCATAGCAGCTTCCAGGCAAGCAGGAACGAGCATTTTGCTGGGTAAGCAGGAGGTGGGCCTGTAACTAGTCACTTTCTTCAGAAGCACAATAAATCAAGGAAACTAAAAAGCAAAATCTCTAAGTTTGTTTCCACCAAGTTTCAATCAAAATAGCATTCATTCATCACAGTTACCTTGGTGAGTTTAGGTGGCAGTAACTGCAAAAATAGAAGTTTCATAATAACAAATATAGGCTATAAGAAACTCAGATGAGCGAGCTTTATCTTTCTGTACATGCTCTGAAGATATGGGTAAGATTTTAAGAAGTACATTGATCATTTAGGAAAAAAAAAATTGCTATTGATTTCCAATGGGATTTACACCTGTAAGTCATTTAGAGAGAGATTTTCAAGATGTATTTAAGTAGGTAAACATCTAACAGGATTGAGAGACACAGGGAGGTTATATTCTCAAGGGCTCTTTGGAATTTGCAGTGGCCAGCATCTAGCTTCCCCATCATCTCATTCAATGCTTGTCCAGGCTCAGGGCTACCCTGATATGACTGACACAGAGTTGGGCACTCATGTAAGGGAGTCCAAGAGATGAAAGAGCAAGAGACAAGATAAGCAGAAGAAAGGAATCAGCTATCTGAAACACCCACGAAGTGCCCATTCCATCCTCCTTGTTATTCATATGGCAATCTTTTTATATAGAAATCAAGGCCAATGGCATGAAAGGCAATATATTTTCTTTTTTAACATTATGGTTTTAGATAAATATTTCCTCAGAATATTTTCCTTTAAAATGGGCATTCATACCATTTTCAAATACAACTCAATTATAAGTTTTGATTTATTGTGTAAAATGGTACTTAATGTTAGCAGAAACATTTATTTTTAAATCCACCTATAAAACTTACTGTACACAGGGTTAAAATTTATTTGTACCTGAACTGCAAGTTAAGGTTCAGCAGGCTTCTACCATCTGTCCAACAACACTTATATAAGAAAAATACTCTTCCCAGTGCTGCATTGAGGCCGGGCATAAATTCTACAACACTTGCAAATGTGACAGAACTAAGCCTTGAGAAGAGAATATGAGCCCATTTCCTGACACAAGACTCCTAAAGTATCCACTTGTATCTCTGACTAAATCTCGTTTGCAAAACCCTCAAACACATGAATATATTCATAGCTATTTTTTCTTCAGTTTAATCACATCACTGAGACTTAATGTTTCAAAAAAATCAACATCTTATTCCAAGAGAGACTGCATTTCAAGGAAGTCTTTTTGTTTGCTGAAAACAAAAGGATGAAAACTTTTCCAGTCTTCTTAACATGACATAACTCCCTGTTTTGTCTCCTTTCTATGATTAAAAAATATGACATTTTCTGTTGCATTTTAATGTTGGCAAAATTGAGTACTTCACAGATATTTGATACTCTTTTGACACACCTTTCTAAATTAAATGACTCCTCTCTACAGTTGTTTGCTCCATCATGCAGTAGAATCATAGAATCAATTAGGTTAGAAATGTAAGATCCTCAGTTCCAACCATAAACCTAACACTGCCAAGTCCATCACTAAAGCATGTCCCTAAGTGCCACATCTACACACCTTTTAAATACTTCCAGTGACAGTGACTCAACCACTCCCCTGGGCAGCCTGTTCCATTGCCTAACTACCCTTTCTGCTTTTCATTCTTGAGGTTAGCCACATGGTTCCCAGCTTGCCTTTGATAGCCTCCTCAGCTGCAGAGAGCAGGCCCAAGCCTGGATGAAGAATTCCAGAAATCTGCTTATAAAGGTGGTGTAGAACCTGGTTTGTAGCCATGGTGAAAGGCTTAGTCTACACCTACTACTTAGCCACTGGAAAGCACCCCAACATTTAAGTGATCTCATTCAAAGTATTATTATTTACTTATTATTTCCAGCAGTTTTCTTCCTTTCATCTTATTTTGTAATCTGGGTTATGAGTGTAAAAAAAAGAAGTATGTATAACATTTAAGTGGGGAAGTCCTGAAAGTGGAGTCACATCCATGAATTTTAATTCATACGGGCAATTCAGCATGGCTTTAGGGAGAAAATAAAAGATAACACTGTTTGGACACCAATAAAATGCAAGGTTTGGGTCTTCAAAAAAGAGCATTAGTCTTGGCAAATTAACAAATCCATAATCTGGGGTTGCAACAGCTGTATCTTTCAAATAAAACTGCCAGTATTAATTACTAATACCATAATATCTCGGTGGATAAAGAACTGGCTCGATGGCCGCACGCAAAGAGTTGTGGTCAATGGCTCAGTGTCCAGCTGGAGACCAGTAACGAGTGGTGTCCCTCAGGGATCAGTGTTGGGACCGGTCTTGTTCAACATCTTTGTCGCTGACATGGACAGTGGGATTGAGTGTGCCCTCAGCAAGTTTGCCGATGACACCAAGCTGTGTGGCTCGGTTGATATGCTGGAGGGAAGGAATGCCATCCAGAGGGACCTCGACACGCTTGTGAGGTGGGCTGATGCCAACCTCATGAAGTTTAACCATGCCAAGTGCAAGGTCCTACACCTGGGTCGGAGCAATCCCAGGCACAGCTACAGGTTGGGCAGAGAAGAGATTCAGAGCAGCCCTGCGGAGAAGGACTTGGGGGTGTTGGTCGATGAGAAAATGAACATGAGCCGGCTTCAGTGTGTGCTTGCAGCCCAGAAAGCCAACTGTATCCTGGGCTCCATCAAAAGGATCGTGACCAGCAGGTCAAAGGAGGTGATCCTGCCCCTCTACTCTGCTCTTGTGAGACCTCACCTGCAGTATTGTGTGCAGTTCTGGTGTCCTCAACATAAAAAGGACACGGAACTGTTGGAACAAGTCCAGAGAAGGGCCACGAGGATGATCAGGGGCCTGGAGCACCTCTCGTATGAATACAGGCTGAGGAAGTTGGGGCTGTTCAGTCTGGAGAAGAGAAGGCTGCGTGGAGACCTCATAGCAGCCTTCCAGTATCTGAAGGGGGCCTATAGGGATGCTGGGGATGGACTCTTCATTAAAGACTGTAGTGATAGGACAAGGGGTAACGGGTTCAAACTTAAACAGGGGAAGTTTAGGTTGGATATAAGGAGGAAATTCTTTCCTGTTAGGGTGGTGAGGCACTGGAATGGGTTGCCGAGGGAGGTTGTGAATGCTCCATCCTTGGCAGTGTTCAAGACCAGGCTGGATGAGGCCTTGGGTGATATGGTTTAGTGTGAGGTGTCCCTGCCCACGGCAGAGGGGTTGGAACTAGATATCTTAAGGTCCTTTCCAACCCTAATTATTCTATGATTCTATGATTCTAATAGACTAGCAGGACAGGTTTAAGTATACCTGAGAGCTTTTACTCACATCAACCCCAATATTCCTTGCATCAATTTAAAGCCATTGCTCTTATCCAACATATTGGAAGAGATATCCTCTTCCTCTCTGAACTGGGCTGTATATCCTTGAAAACTGTGATCATTCTTTTTCTCCCACTCCCAGATTTCTTTTTCTTAATCTAGGTAACCTACAAATAAGAGATATTTTTTAAGTTATGTTCTTCACTAAGGAGAACAAGTTATTCTCCTTTGGATGCTCTCCAAGTGTGCCACATTGCTCTTAAAGTATAATATCCAAAATCAGCCACAGTGCTCCAGCTGAGGCTTGATCAATGATGGGTGGAAAAAGGATCTCCCCATGTGTCTTGCAATCTATACTTCTGTCTGTATCTCCCACACTTATGAGATTCAGGGGGAGTGTTGGCAACAGCACAGTTATGATTTATGTTTAGTATACTCCCAAGACCCTTTTCTGAAAAATGCCATTTATTTTTCATCCTCTATTGGAGGGGAATAATCAACTAACAAATGTATTGCATCTCATTTATCTTTATTGAATCTTGCCACTATTTTTAATCCATTTTCCCCAATCTTTTAAATTCTAAATAACCCCCTGTGTGCACTTGCAGTTTCCTAGCTGGAGTCATCAAGTTTAACTCCCACTCCCATTGCCCAAGTCAGAGATCAAACAGATCAGCATTAGAAGAGCCAAAATGTTTTTGATGCTTCGCTCCAGCTCAAAGGCCTGTTTCAGTGCCTGATACCTCCAGAAGGAACTAGCATAGGCTTTTACTTATTTCTTTCCAATTTCCCCCATTACTTACCAGTCTTATGTGTGTTATTTCTAGGCACTGGCATCAGGCTTGCCAATCTACAGCTATCACAGTCCTCTGCTTTTCCCATTTTCTTTTCCTGAGACTTACCCCATTTGCCCCTTTCCAGAACTTTACCCATCTTCAGAAATATCAGTCGTGTTCTAACACAACTTCAGTCAGTTTTTAAGTATTCTAGGCCCAGTTGATTTCAAAATATCTAACAGGCCAAGAGCATTTAGCTCCTCTTGAAGGAGATCAGTGGAACTAATAACTGCTTCTACAACACACTTTCAAATTGTGCAAACGCTATACACTACTCATGAGATTTCATGTTTGACTTTTATGAGCATACATAATATAACTGAAAGTACACAAAATACTAGTGGGACTCTACACCTTCACTTTTTGGATGTATTCAGCAATTTATTAGTGTGTGAAGGGCACAAGATAGGATTGTTCAACAGCATTCATAAATTTAGATCAGACCCTCCTTGCAAGAATCAGGTTTCCAAATTAGCTGAGCACTACTCTAAAAGCAGAAACCCAGTTGTTTACTGCCAAATCTGTAGGCTATTGATGAGAGCAGAGATTGTTACTCCATGGATTGGCCTCCCCCCATATTTATTGACCAGTATCTAACAGCTGTATTATCACTCAGATTTCTTGCTTCGTAACATGACCCATATCTGAGGCAATTCTATCAGTGACTTTTATTCCAGACATGAGAAAGGCGATAGGGGATGCTTGCAAGAATCAAGGATAACATCAGAACTCAGTTTAAGCATGTAATCTGCTTTACCCATGTATTAGGGTAAAGAGGAGAACTTAGCACACGTTTCTGATGACCATTACTACTGCCTGGTTACATGACGTTCCAAATACCTCCCTGCAGGTGATCCTGTCACCACTGACCACAGATACGTGCTTACAGTCTGATGGAGGTGCAGGTACAGGATGCTCCAAATCCAGGGAAGAGACATAGGAGAGACAAGAGGAAAACGTGAGTAATAAGCAGTGCCATCTAGTGTAGTGCAGGCATTCATTCACAGGGAAAGGAGCCGGCCTCCAGGCGTTGTTTAGACGTTAAGAGAGCCACAGTACTAAACCTATACACACCACAGAAGGGTTTTGATGGCAAATAAAAGTAAAAGATGCCAGAGTGGCTTTGTGCCTTTTGAGTTCTGCCTGATTTACACCCTGGTACCTCACCCCCCTTCTTTTATTTGGCTCTGTGCCTGAACTACAAAGAGTGTGTCTGCATAAGCCTCTCTCTAGATTTGAGCATTCATACAGCCAGATTAAGAGACCCATTTCAGCACTGTAATGACAGATGGTAAGAACTTGGTTGGAGGGAGCTACCAAACCAATTTGTGTACAGCACCTGGTACTGCAAGGCTTTAAGGGAAGCTCTAGCAAAATTTGAAGCTCTGATGGTACAGATGTCTTCACTGGTGAACAAGAACTCCTGCAAAAGAGGTTAACACACTCCCTAGTTTTAGGCATTGCCTGTCCTATACAGAGCTCTGAATTGCATGACAGCAAACTCTCTGTGCCTTATTGAAGTTTACAGTTGCAACATATTCAAGGACAAAAATACAGGTACACTCTGAAATCACATCAACTGCTATTAAAGACAATGGACACACACCACAATCAAATCTCTCACACAGGTCAGCAAGGATTGCTGCAGTAAAATAACCTTTGCATCAGCTGAAAATTTTCCACTCAGCAAGCATCTCCTCAGTCTTCCGTTTTCCAGGCTGACAGACTAACTAGCTGAACAGACTACAGGCAATGCTTTCTGAGACTCTTCCTCAATGGACTAAATCAGTCACAAGCATAACTCAAAGCCAGCTAAAACAGGTAAGCCAAATCTCACCACCTGACTCTTCCCAGCTCTCTACCATCACCTAGATGGCAGACAGATCCCCAGTTTTGCATAACAGAGCCTTATCCTTAACATGACCCAGTCTCTTTAGCTCTAGTAGGCTCTCTCCCTTAAGTAAGCTGCTTGTTAGCCTTATCTCATCAGTTGGGAGACAGCTGAGTAGCTACAGGTAGAGGCTGAAGCTGTCATCGGAAAGCTCCATCTCACATATGGCCTGATGAATATATAGTTTTTTAAAGGTGTGGAAAATGCCCATCTTCCTAAGCACATACTTTGGGAGTTAGAGGTTACTAAGACACCAGATGAAATGATGTGGCCTGTGTTAATACAGAGCAGTGGAGTAGATGAGAAAGTGGCTTCTTCCTGCTTAAAAACTGGGAATGCATTTTGGTTTGAGCAGTACAAGAAATGCTTCAACTTGCGCCTGAGTTGTAAAACCGTGCGCCCTCCTACATGAGAACATTGTTGTCACAAAGAAACTGTCTCTTTAAAGCAAGAAATGTCTTTGAAAATGGTTATCTATAGGAATGGGCAAATTAAAGCTTTTGAAGTTTTCAGTTCTCAATTTGGGCTTCTAAAGTAATCACCTCTGCAGATATATGTGACTGTATACCTGTTGTTATTCACAAAACAAGTATTTGGAAGTGTACTGAAAAGTAGAAAAAAGCAGGAGTATGGGACAAGGGGATAGAAAAGGCGAAGCACACAATAGCTGGGGGATCCCACCTGGTGCCCCTTGCAAAGTGGAGAACTGCAGCAGGCATTTCTTCTTGCTGCTCTGCTGCTCTCCTCTGCTATCCCATATCTTTGCAGCTGTGCCTGGTCTCCAGAGGGCCTGATCTCTGGGCTGAAAAATGTTGGTTTAACACTTCACCTGCCTTGGGATAGGGAATGACAGCATCACCGGCTTTGGGAAAGGCAGCGCCTGGCGCCTGCATGCTCTGTAGCAGGTTTTCCAGTCTCAGCCCAGAATAAAGTGGCCTGGCTTTTTACTCCTTTACAGCAACATCTTTGAGGGCACACGTCAATATTTTGGGCAATGTGTCATCTATTGAGAAATCTGGAAAACGTGCCATATTATTCCATCATGTATGCCCTGTCAAAAACCTCATGATGAGGAAACAGTCAACTATGCCACTGTGAGCTCTTAGAAGCTACTAAGAGAAGGTAGCTTCATCCATCCTGATGCCTCAGGGACTGCCTGGTAGATGTGCCCTTGGATTTGGCACTGTGTATAGACTCAAGGTGCAAGCTAAACGTGGTGGTGATTTTTACATTTTATCCCTGTGTGATTTCAAAATGCTTCTTTTCCAGAGACTGTGTAAAGCAGCCAGGCACAGCATTCCCCTCAGAAATTCTGCTGTACAATAAATGAGTTTTACCTGTATTTGCTAGCAGCAATCTGGTTTTCAAAGCAGGAATCATAGTGGGGTGGAGGTCTCATAACAGGCAAAGCCCAATACACATCTAACACAGTATCGACAAACCTAAAATGTAGGTTCGTCTAGCAACAGTCATTCACATTAGAAACTGGAGCAAGATTCTGGGGCAGGGGCAGACAGGTTGATTGCAAAATTCCCATATAAAAAGCTTCTTTAAGTTAAGTGTGAAGTGTTTAAGTGTTAGCAGTGCTGGAGTCCAGCCTAGCAGGGGTCTGTCAGTGTTGGCCTGCATCAGTGGGGTTTTTCCGCTAACCGCGAGGTTCTGAGCGTGTTCATCTTAAACGTTCAGACCGCGCTCAATGCATTGAGCCCCCCTCTCAAAGAGTGCTTGTTCCTTGCTATTAGCAACATTTCTGGCTAAATATTTAGTGATCACTATCAAAAAACAAACAAACAAATAAAATCAGCTAGAGAAATTAAAAAAAATTAAGTTACTGTGGATGTCCTGAGCAAAACTATGCAGGATGTCATGTCAAAAGCAGAAACTGCCTCAACAGCCCCCTGATCTGGACTCACTGTCTGATTGCCTCATTGACCCAATATTGCAAATAGTGAGGTTCTGAGTGCCTTTTTATTCCAAAATTTGCTGTTAGTTGTTAAATTACAGTGCAGATAGCAGCAATTTTCCCTCCTTCTCCTTCATCCTCCAAAGATGCTTTACAGTGTATCCCCACTTATTGCTCATTTTGCCACCCGAACACCTTCATAGAATTGACTGACTAATCTCTGCTGTTAATGCCTACCTGCAGTAGTCAGATCACTTGTATTTGAATCATGTGCACCCTGTGCAAGCTGAGTCCCATTCCTGTGTTTAATATGCTAGTCCAAGTGTAGCTCCACATTACAGTCATTTTGTAAATGAGTGGTTATTTTGGTCTTCAGAGAGGAAGGTATGAGAGGAGAATAGATTTGTTTTCTGTCACAGTGCTGCTGCCACCTAACTTGCACAGAAAAAAAAAGTGATACCCAGTGTCCACCTCTTCTTCCCTCACTTTTTGTTTGGTTGAAATTAACAATCTTCTAAAAATGCCTTCATTATGTCTTATTATGAAGTTAAGAAAAGCAGCTATGAGTCGATCCTTCTTTAGAAAGAGACAGTGCATGATTATAGCAAACAAATTTAACTTGATCACAGATAAAATTCATAGAAGGAGATACTCTGTGAACTAACTCACATGAATAGTTCAACCTGCAGATTCTTTTAACTGTTGTTTTTAACAGCTATTTCTACCCAGACCTAATGGGGAAGGGAAGGACATTACTTTTATAAAAAAATTTTTCATCTCATTTTGTCAAAAAAAAAAAAACAACACGCCAAAAAACCCCAGTGAAAATATCTAACAATTGGTTTTCTCAGTTATGCTTTGAAGTGCATGGTCATTGCTTTTGTGTTATTTCTTTCTGTGCGTAAAATCAGTTCTATTAAGAATACTATTTGTGGAGGAAGAGTGGTAGCATTTTTGCTGTTGCAGCTCAAAGACACAAAGTTTGCAGAAAAAAGTAACCTCTTTAATTAGAACAACTGTTAGATTCATTTTCCAGCTGTGATACAAGACACTCCCTCCTCTATCTTGACTCTTTTATATAGCTCTGTATGTTGTAATGGCTTCAGATGAACTATACAGAACTGCCCAGAGCTACACTTTGAAGTAATGTTTATTTACAGTTCTCTGTATAGTTGGTCTCCATGACTTACCATCAAAACATCGAAAGGGTTCTCCTTTTGCTTGTGAGCAGTAATTTTCTAGGTCAAGTAACATTTGCATCGAGCACTGCTCAAAGACAGACACTCTGCTGGATTTAGACAGTACAGTTTGATGCAGTGCCTGGGAAGACCTTGGACAAGCACTGAAAAAAAAATTCTCTGCCTATTTTAAAGTAGATTTTCTCCTTCTTATTTCATACACGTCAGTGAAAGGTGATCAGGAATAGAGACGTCCTGTTCAGAGGAGCTCAATGGTGTCTTATCTTACATTTAGTTCTGTATAACAAACTCAACGGAGAACTATTGATTGGTATTTTTTGGTGTTTTCAGTGTGGCAAATGTTGTCTCATCCATGCTTGAATCTGTGCTGGAAGTACCCAGTCTAGATGATGACCTTTGAATCCATATACCAGACAGAATGTCCAACCTGAACAGCTAGCATGTAGTTTATGTTATAGTCCATCAAACAAATGTAAATAAAGGGATAAATGTTTGAATCATACTTACTAGTTACAGCAAGAGATTATAGGACATAGGCAGATACGCATTAGCTATTTGGTGCAAGTTTATAGATCACAAAGCTGGAAAGACAATTTGTGATCATCTGTTTTTTTTTCCCATATTACACAGGTTACAGGACTTTCTTGAATTAGCTCCTGTAGAACAAGAGCATTTCTCTGAGAAAATCAATCATTTTCAACTTCAAAATGTCTAGTGATGGAGAATTCATTACAATCTTTAGTAAATTGTTCTAATAATGAATTACTTTCCATGTTAAAATGTGTCTAGTTTCAAATTTCACTGGTTCTTGTCAGACTTTCCCCCATTTAACTGAAATGCCACATTATTATCAAATTCCTACACTTCTATTTCTACAGGGAGTGGGGAAATTTATAAATTATAACCAGCTCTCCCCTTAACCTTGTCCTTATTAAGCTAAATAGATTGATCTACATAAGCCTCCCATTGGAAGACATCCCTTCCCCTCTTGTAGCCCTTCTCTGAACACATCTCTGCTTGCCACCAGTCCCTGATGATGGACCCTAGAAGTGAACACTGCTTCAGTCACCACTGCACCTCTGCTAATACAGAGGCAACACAGCTTTACTCTAAGAAATCCTGCACCAGAAACTGGGCACTGACCCTCTGACTTACATCCTTGGATTGAAAATTAACATTTAGCTGATTATTCACCATCAGTAACATTAGGCACTATTACTCTTGATTCATTCATTCACTCACTCATTCGTTCATTCAGTCATTTAGAGAGCCTTTATACATATGGACCAAACCCCAATACTTTAAATGTATATACTGAGCCTTGGAGCTTTTAAGCATAGTTATGCTGAGTCTGGAATGGGGCTGATGCGGCAGAAGTTGGGTTTAACAGAGAAATGGATTTCTTTGAAGAAGTGGGGCATGTCAACTGTTTCTCTAGATACACTAAACTGCCTCAGACATGGAGAACAAAACACAGCAACCCCATTAACAGACTATTTTTGATGTATACTCCAAGATCCGTGACAATTGCTTTGTTTCCCAGTCAGAATTTAAGATACTGAGATTTCTCTACAATACTCCACATGGTCTTTTAGGATGTGTCTCTTTTTCTCTTTGGGAATGGTACCTACCATGGCCAGGACACCCGGCAATACCAGGGAGTTACAGAGTGATACCTGGAAAGGTCTTCTACCTTAGTTATCCTTTAAAATACATTTCAAGCTCACTCTTTAAAATGGACCAGTCAGACAACTTCTTGCATTGTATCTGTGATTTGGGAAGAATTTGAGAACAGAAATTTGAGTTTGTCTTCAACACACCACAATTATTTCCTGCAGTAAGCTTGCAAACGTGCTGTCTGCTTTCTAGGGATACTGCATATACAGGTGGATTTATTGTATTTTAATTAATTCTTGGAGGCCTGTAGCAAGTGACAGGCTAAGTGATCACCTCTTTTAAGCAATCTGGATGTGTAAATCAAAACGATAGAAAGAAGCAAGGGAAACAGTTGGGCTGGCCAGCATGAGTCAATATATGACAGACAAGTTTTGGAATAGCCTGTTGTTATTTTTCAGTTTCCTCTGATTGATTAGCAAAATTAATGCATGAATTATTAAGTCACTAATATGTCAACAGGGAGCTTTCTGCCCATGCTAAGCACAACAACAGAGTGGGTGGTTACAGACTGAAAGTCTGGAGGCAAAGGCTGAAACGGTCTTTTCCTTCCCATTAGAGACTGGGAAGTACCGCGGCAGTACTTGACCTTACAGAGAGAGACCATACCTTTTTAAAAACTCAAACAAACCCAAAACACAGCAGAAACAGCGTGATAGCTACCTAAGCTGCCCTGCCTAGGGCCATGCCCATCTCTGCCTCTCCAGTCTCTAGCAGGACTAGGAGTAGTGAAGGCAAGGTGTTGCTTATGAAGGTGAGTGCATTACATGATGAGTAAAATTCCCCTACTGAGTCATTATTTCTCTAGTACGTAGTATCTGCACAACAAGTTGGACAGAACCTCAACACTACGTATGGCTTTTTCACACATGAACACATTATCACATATTTGTTTGAATGGAGATACCTATTTCAGAAAACAAAGTACACCTCTGGTTCAAAAGCATGGCTGTAGGAAGTACAAGGAGCTCCAGTTTTACTTTCTTTCATAAGAACCTTTACGCAAGGTTCAGTTGGAAATAAATGAAGATATATAGAGCTTAACACTGCAAAATTCAGTATGTGTTAAACAGAGTGAGGACTTTGCTAAGGCAGCATTGTTCTCTTTAGGCTAGTGGTCATAAATACAAATATTCACTCTATCTTTCACATTTCAGGCATACCGCTGTCACTATTGAGCCTTGAAGCATTACCCAATGGGATGTTTTCTTCAGATGGTCTTTTCCTTTGGGGAAGAGCGAAATCAAAGAGAGAATATGCTGATTCAGGTGAATCCTTCAGGTTTTAGCAGCAATGGACAAGCTTCAGAGGCACCTTGGAGACTTGTAAGCATCCAAAAGATAAGGCACCAAAATCATTTTTGTTAAAGCCATTTTTGCATTACTTTATATACCAGAGAGTGGTCATTAAATGGCTGGGGACAGCAGATGGAGAAATGCCACTCCTGAAACAAAACAGGAATTTTTGCTGCCTCATGCTCCATCTCTACATTTCTTTCCGTATCTCAGCTCAAAGTGAAGGGCTGTACCAGAGGGCAGAGTGGTCATGATGATGTTTACTGCCATCTAAAACTTCACTGTCATAGGACTCTTGACTGTGGCTTTTGTTCTGAGTAACAGGAACATGGGGTTAAGGAAACACACAGGCATACTGAGGTCTAAATAAACCTGCTTCTAACAGCAAATAACCTGCAAGGTCTTGGTATAGCTAAGTGCTATGATTCTGGCAGATCTCCAGAGACAGAGCACAAAGGGGCAGTCCTGCACTCATTCCTTGTTTTATTCCTGAGTGCTGTTATCTTTCACACTTAGTGTCTCCTTGCTGCACTGCTTGCGGTAGGACACAGCTGGTCAGAAATCAGTGTGTCACAACTGTTTTCCTGTTGTTGCAAACTATTGCAGATTTTTGTCTCTTTCTGCCCATTTCCAGGTTGACATAAAGGCTTGGGAGAGCCCTAGAGCATGGGGGAAATATGGAATATGTGTTCTGTACACTTGATTACTTAGAGTAGGTGGGACCTGTGAGGTCTTCAGGCCTGTATTGTTAAGCTGGGAGACCTGCAGGACACAATAGCAACTATCTCCAGCTCCCTATGCTGGTCATTCTCTACACATGCTTGGAAATTCTCTACTTAATTGATTAGCAGCAGTGTCCTGAGCCATACAGGTAGCAGGAACCTTCCTTGGTAAGGGGTTCTCTCCTCACTCCTGAGGGGTGAGGGATAACTCAGTCAGGCAGAGCACACAGAGAACAGCAGACCAGCAAACCAAACATCTGAACCAGGCAGAAGAACCCTACAAACCAAACCCAAACAGCTTCTCATCTCTGAACCAATTTTACAACTGTAAATTCATGGAGCTCTGCACCCCACTTCTGTTTATAAACCCACAGTTGTTCCCAGAATTCTTTTCATTTGATCAGTTTGGTTGATTGTGTTCACTTTTTGGAATTGATGATCTTTCTTTTGTTGCTATCGTTTGGAGTGGAGTTATACTGAGTAAAACTTATTCAGTTGTTTAACAGGAACACAGACCAGCATTAGGAGTGTGCAACAGATAAGCTGCATTTGGGGAGCAGGGAAAAGTCCCATGAGGGCAGATACTATTTATACTGTTCTGATGCTTAAATTTGATGCCAATGGCCCTGACTCAGTGTTTTGAAACTTAATTCAGGACATTGAAATGGCAAATGAATGTTACCAAGTCAAATGCGACCGGTAATGACAGCTTCTGAAAGGGCTCTTTCTTAATGACCATTCTGGGACCCTACACATATAACCACAACATGTGCACGATGTTTGCATTAAAAGATCATGGCTAGCTTGTAGTAAAACCACAGTGGCAAAAATTTGGGAAGTACTTTGAGCAAATTTCACCTGCGAAGCAAGGTCAAGGCGGTTAAGGAGCTGAAACCCACTAAATAGTGAAGCAAATAATACTTGCAATGAGAGGTGACACTCATTTCTTCTGTTTTGGTCCCTAGCTAGCAAATCTCTATAATGTCATGAAGTGCTAGGAGGACCCCATGCTTCTGATACAAAAGTAAAATTTGGATTTTACATCAGATGCAAAGGTAAAATTTCAATGGTATTTTATGCCAGGGAGAGATTAATGATGTATTTTGACATGCATTTCAGATTGAATAACCCTCCCTCTTCTTTTCTTCTTCCTCCACAGTTTCCCCCTGCTGTAAGAAGGACAGTGCCAGCAGCTTAACCACACTCCTCTCCACTGTTGGCTTTGTCTAGTAGTGCCTGACATGATGGCTATAGAGCTGTACCTGGAACTTTCCGGAAAAATTTCCAATTATCACATCTTCCTCCATGGCAGTAACATTAAGAACGCTAACAGAGATAGGCAGCTAGCATTTTCAGTGCTGCCTTATTAGTCCTGGCTTGGTTTAGACAACGCACTGGGTGATATCCCAGTAGCTAGTTTGTATTAGAGTTGCTCTAGCTGAGAAAGATACTTTACCTGTAGAAAGAATAAAACATCCTACATGAAAACCAGAAATCCTTTGTGCACACCTTCTCTGTTAGGATAAAAGCAAGCAAAGTTGAAGGTAAGGAATCATTATAATGTTAAAAAACATTCAATGCCCATATACAAACCTTAACACATTTGAAACATTCTTTTTTTCCACCATATGTCAGATATCTATTCACTTTTCCTTTCTTTATTACTACGTAAATGAGGACATTTGCATGAAAACAAGTACTCAGATTCTCAAAAGTTTGTCTATTCCTACTTATATTTTCCTGCCTTGAAGGGAGCGGAGCTTTCTGTAGAGGGTACCATAACTGCTTCCAAACCAACGAGCTGTGATGAATAAGAAGCAGGAACTTTTTAAACAAAGACCCTGGTTTCATGCAAATATTCTCAGTAATAAAGCATGCAGTAAAAGAAATATGTGAAGTTATGTTTTGCAGAACTGCTACTTAAAGCAAAGCAGCTCTGTAGAATGAAGCAGAATCTGAATTTTTCTAACTGCAGGAAGGGAAAGTGAGTTTAAGTATTTTCCATAAGAGATTCCAAAATGTCTATAAACAAGATGATCAGAAGGCAAAGATGGAATATATCCCAATATTATTCTCATCAGCATCATCAACATCACTCTATGTGAAAAGATCCTAACCAGAATCACTGCACCATTCTCCTCTTTCTAGAAGAACATAACAGGCTCTTTTCCCCACAAGATTTAGCAATCTAATATGCTTTTCTAATCCATCTCTGAGTCATTGCCTTGGTCTGTCCCCTCTTACTTTTCCAAACTCAGCAGTAACTGATTGAAACGTATTGAAAAAAAAAACGTAGAGAAAAAACTGGAATCATAAACAATAGAGAATATGTAGGAAGCATTTATATTAAACAATAATTAATAGTTTAGGCTTTGCTTCATGACAGCTCACTCAGTAGATAAATCAAAACCCAGGAGGCATTCATTTGCTTGCAGTTTTCATCCTTGAGTACCATCAAGTATCCACTGCTCTAGTTTCTGACCTTCTAAGCAGCAAACACCTTGGAGTGATCATTAAGAACAACTTCCTAGAGTGGTCCTTTGCCAGAAATGTTGGTAGGTGTAACAGTGACTATTTCCTCCTCCTGGAAGCTGTGTCGCAGCAGATTCCTACCTCCCCAAATGCAACAGGGTGCTGACTATCCAACCACTCAGGTGATTTTGTCACATACCCAAGACCAAAGGAACACAGTGCAGACAAGCCCGTGCAGTGTGTGAACGCTGACTTTGGCCTCCACAGGCGTTAAGGCTGGCAATGCGCATTGGTGCTGCCATCACTGGGCTGTAAAGGACGTGACAAGAGACTTCCACTGAAATTCTCTTCAGAAGAGAGGAAAAGTGCTAGTAGATACAGAGTTTAAAGTAAGCCATTTGGAGTTGCGGTTTCTTTATTCCTCAGTGCATCTTCTTTGAGTACAGCAAGGATGATTTCCTGTCTGCACATAAAGCACACTTTCCATCATAACTCATGGACAAGGACAAGTTAGAAGTGTCAAAATAATTAACTATGCTGGTGAACAAAAAAACCCCAAAGACTGAAAATTCTTACCTTCAAAGGCTACCCTTAACTATCCTCTGATGCAAGCACTGTGCTGAAATGCGGTGCATGTTTTCTAAATACGCCTCTTAAGCAGAGGTTGGATGATAGATTTCAGGCAAAAGCCCTCTCTCTATTTTTTCCAGCAAGTTTCAAAAACTTGCCTGTTTCTTCTCATTTTTTTTCTATGGACTCAGTGCTACATCACCAAACACTGCAATTTCATCTAGAAACATTGATAACTTTAATGGAAGACAGTTGGGCTTGTTCAGCCCTGAGAAGGCTCAGGAGAGACTTAAAGCAGCCTTTCAGTACCTAAAGGGGGCATACAAGAGAGCTGGAGAGGGGCTTTTTACAAGGGCCTGTTAGTGACGGGACAAGAGGGAATGGCTTTAACCTGACAGAGGGGAGACAATAGACATTAGGAAAAAAATCTTCACTATGAAGGTGGTGAGACACTGGCACAGGTTGCCCAGAGAAACTGTGGCTGCCCCATCCCTGGCAGTGTTCAAGGCCAGGACAGATGGGACTTTGAGCAATGCGGTCTAGTGGAAGGTGTCCCTACCCATGGCAGGGGGTTGGAACTGGATGATCATTCATGTCTCTTCCAACCCAAACTACTCTATGGTTCTATGATTTTGCCTGAGACACCACTTTCTGTTGCCAGTGGACTTGTTAGGGCACATAATTCCAAAAATACAATATTTATAACTTATTCATGATTTATTTTAAACCTCTTTCACAGCCTGATGCACATGAGGCAATTTAAAATCGCCAAAACTCTGTTTTGCACCTAACACTTCATTACAACTGAATGTAAAAGTTCACACATCTGTTGGTGTTGTATTGTTTTGGGCTGGCTGCAGAGCAAACAATCCAGTGAAGCACAGAGTTGCCGTAGGAAGGCTGTCTCCAGATCAGAGGACAGGATCTTTCATTTTTTGATGAAGGCAGACAAGTTCTGCAGAATGCAGAAGAGCCTCAGCCCACGACATCGAAGGACCGGCACAGCCCCTCTTTCCAAGGATGCTAAGGGAGTTCCACCAGTTCAGCTGAGCAATGAGGTGTCACTAGAAGTCTTGACAGGAGGAGGGTCTGTGCAAGCCCTTTTCCTTCCAAGGAGATTCTGTGTTATTAAACCCTGTTAATTCTGATACCAAAAAGCCAGAGCAGTGAACCCAACCTCACATAATTTTCTTTATTTAACTATAAAGGACAATTTCATAGTCTCCAATGATTTAAATCTCAGGTGATTGGAAAATTGGAGACTAAAAATCTGCATTCTAAACTCACCATGGCAATTCTGCTGAAATTGCTACAGACAATGTAATAAGTATAGGTTATGCAAATATACTCCACAATGTATATCAATATAAAAGTGAAGTCATGGGCCATGCAATTTACCTTATTTAGATCATGTTTTTTATGATAAGCATAGTTTCTGCATCTTGTGCTGGTCCATTGCCTCTAAGACTTCTAGCCAAGGGATTAATGGAAGCAGTAGTAAAGCATCCGTACCTTCCACCAATGTGAATCAAAACCCCTAACTGTAAAACAATGAAACAAAGCCAGTTGTGTTAGATATTATGTTGGTTTCTGATCTCCATCCCCACTCCACACCACAGTTGGTTTTCGTCTGTTTTTTTTTTCTTCTCTCTCTCCTGTCATTAAACAGTTTGAAAACATAATGAATATTTCTGGGGGGTTTTAAAGCATGGTCCAAACTGGACCGAATTTAGGAATTTGTCTCTGCTGAGAAGGCATATGGCTCATATGATCCAAAGCAATACTCCCCGCTACGAAATTATTTTCTGATATACTAAAGCACTCCTACTTATTTCAAGCATTTCACTTATCTATGCCCTAACTGCCTGGATCACCACCCCTGGCTACCTCACATCTTCCTTTACCCCCTTGCTTCGAGAGCTTAGTTTGGATTCAGGCACAGCACAGTATCAGTGTGATTCGGAAGTTACCGAGACCCTCAGCAGGAGCTGGGTTTGAGAACAATTATCTGACAGGCTTGTTTAGCAGCACAGCCCAATCTGTGTTACGACCCTTTTTCTAAATGTAGATATAACAGCACATTAAAGCAGTGTTACATCTCACACAGCCTGCTGGGTGAGGGTTCAGCGAGGTTCCCCTCGCTCCCCTTCTGCACAGCAGTTCCTTTGTTACCGCCTCTCCTCTGGATCCTGTGATGGACGGGAGTCCCGCGCTCCTCTAACACTAAAATGGGGCTGCCAAGATAATTTATGGGCCCTGCGGCCAACAAAAACTCTCAGGCCTCCTTGGGTTATCTCTTAAGTCCTGCTTTTCTCCACCCATTGTGCCAGCTTGTCCTCTTAGATTTTACAGATGCCAGGAAAGGTTTGGCAACACAAACATCCCCTTAGTGCGCTGCTTTTAAACAACAGCCTTCTCCCGGCTTTGCCTGTGTCTGCAGCTGTGTTTCTAGACAGAAAGCAGAAAAGCAAACACAGGACTGGGAGGAGAAAGGAAAAGAGATGAAAGGAGAAGAGAGGTGACAGCGCCTGCAGCTTGGGTCTGGAGGGAAGATGGAGACCGTGTTGAGGTGCCCATGCATAGGGCTGGCCCATCATGGGCTGGCTGTGGTGCAGGAGGAAGACCTGCTCCTTGCTCTCTTAGCACTTTCACTTTTTGCATTAGAAATCCCGGCTAAGTGTTAACAGTTCTGCTGGCAACTGCAAGCCCATGGGAGCCTTTTCCTGTGGGGTGCAAGATGGTGAAAGCGGAGGATACTCCTCACTGCCCAGGCCTGTGCAGAAAAAATCCACCGCTGCCTTTGCACTAAGTCCTTCCAAGCCCCGAGTGTCTGGAAACCCAGGCACAGGCAGCATTTCTGCAGAGGACACCGAGGGAACGCCTAGG